TATCGGCCGTTATTTTGCTTATCAGCCGTATTGGATGCGTCCACCCACCCGCCAACCCCTTGCGTGTTCGTGAGTCAGTTTGGCTGTGTCTCTGGGTGAGTGAGGAAGCTTCTGCTCATTCATCCAAACATTTCGCTATAATCCATTAATTTTTGTGGTTATTTATCGTGTGCAACTGCAAAATAAGCAACCATGGGCCCAAAGAAGTTCCTAGTAAAATTTCTTTGGTAAAGAAAGTGAGAAACATGAAATTTAAGAAAGAGGTTGTTGACAAGTATGAGTGGTGTTCGAGTTCTAGAACTTGCCAGGATGTATAGGAAATCCAAATCAACAATCACTTCCATCCTGGCAAAAAAAGTAGAAATCAAGGAAGCTAATGTTGTGAAAGGGAGTTTAGCAGGGAGGCAGGGAGTGTAGCAGGCAGGCAGGGAGTGTAGCGGGAAGGCAGGACCCCAATAGAATTAAGTCACTGTGTCTGACTTTTCTGGGTTATCCTAGGTTCTTTACACATATGCTGTGGAAGGGAGGCAGGGAGTGTAGCATGGAGGGAGGGAGTGTAGAAGGGAGGAAGGGAGTGTAGCAGGGAGTGTAGCAGGCAGGCAGGGAGTGTATGTAGCATAGAGAGAGGGAGTATAGAAGGGAGGTAGGGAGTGTAGCAGGCATGCAGGGAGTGTAGCAGGCATGTAGGGAGTGCAGCAGGCATGCAGGGAGTGTGGTAGGCATGCAGGGAGTGTGGCAGGCATGCGGGAGTGTGGCAGGGATGGAGGGAGTGTAGCAGGGAGGCAGGGAGTGTAGCAGGAAAACAGGGAGTGTAGAAGTGAGGGAAGTAACCCCAGAGGGGGCTTTGATACCTGAAGTCCTTATGGAGGGGGATTCCCCTTCCAAACAATAATCAGGCCTCCCTCTTTCCTCCTCCCAGTCTTCCATAAGCCAACAAGAGTCTTCAATGAAGGTATGTAATAGTGATTTAAATGTTCATTTATTTATTTTATTAAGTTCTCACTGTTTTGTCTATGTAAAACTATAATCAATCTTTAAAAAATGTATTTTTTGTTAATATTTTTGGGTGTCTGAAATGGATTAATTGTATTTATACTAATTCTTATGGGAAATATTATTTCGGTTTTAGGCTATTTCGGTTTTAGGCCTACCCTCTGGAACGGATTATGGCCGATAACCGAGGGTCCACTGTATTCACTTTTAATTTTCTTCTTTTACACACCCTACCAAACTCATCAACCAACCTCTGCAACTTCTCTTCAGAATCTCCCAAAAGCACAGTGTCATCAGCAAAGAGCAACTGTGACAACTTCCACTTTGTGAGAGATTCTTTATCTTTTAACCCCACACCTCTTGCCAACACCCGAGCATTCATTTCTCTTACAACCCAATCTATTAATATATTGAACAACCATGGTGACATCACACATCCTTGTCTCAGGCCTACTTTTACTGGAAAATAATCCTCCTCTCTCCTACATACTCTAACCTGAGCCTCACTATCCTCATAAAAACTCTTCACTGCTTCCAGTAACCAACCTCCTATTCCGTACATTTGCAACATCTGCCACGTTGACCCCCCCTATCCACCCTGCCATACGTCTTTTCCAAATCCATAAATGCCACAAAAACCTCTTTAACCTTATCTAAATACTGTTCAACTATATGTTTCTCTGTAAACACTTGGTCTACACACCCCCTACCTTTCCTAAAGCCTCCCTGTTCATCTGCTATCCTACTCTCTGTCTTACTCTTAATTCTTTCAATAATAACTACCATACACTTTAACAGATACACTCAACAAACTTCTTTCAACAAACCGGCCATATCCCACCAAGGCAGGGTGACACAAAAAGAAAAGCAAAAGTTTCTCTTTTTAACTTTAGTAATGTATACAAGAGAAGGGGTTACTAGCCCCTTGCTCCCAGCATTTTAGCCGCCACTCAACAGACATAGTGCTCTATAACTTTTGCACTCTCTTTTGTCCCCTTTGCCCTTACAGAAAGGAACTATGCATGCTCTCTGCTAATCCCTAAGTACCTTACCCACTTCCATACATTTATTAAATAAAAGCACCAACCACTCCAAAACTATATCCCCGCCTGTTTTTAACATTTCTATCTTCATCTCATTAATCCCTGCAGCCTTACCCCCTTTCATTCTGCCCACTGCCTCAGGAACTTCCCTCACACTCACAACTGGCTCTTCCTCACACCTACAAGATGTTATTCCTCCTTGCCCTATACACAAAATCACAGCTTCCCTATCTACATCAATATTTAACAATTCTTCAAAATATTTCCTCCATCTTCCCAATACCTCTGACTCTCCATTTAATAACACTCCTCTCCTGTTTTTAACTATCAAATCCATTCATTCCCTAGGCTACCTCAGCTTATTAACCCTTTGAGGGTCGACAGGCCCTCTCCGAAACTCGTTCTCAGGGTCAGCCAAATTTAAAAAAAAAAAATTATTTTCTCTTATGAAAAGATAGAGAATCTTTTCCCGATCATAAAGACACCAAAAGTTTGAAATTTGATAGAAAACTTACAGAATTATGCTCTCGCAAAGTTAGCGGTCTCGGCGATGTTTACGCATCGGCGATTTTGCCCACTTTGAGCCCCATTTTCGGCCAATTTCACTGTACTAGTCGACAAAAAACATGCATATTTTCGCTAGAACTCCATTTTTTCTATCGAATGGGTGCAAGAAACCACCCATTTAGAAATTCAACTATCCAGTACAGTGGTCAGAATTTAGCAATTTTGCCAATTTCACACAAATTTCAAAAGATGCCAATTTCCGAATAGGGTCCAGAATAAACAAGAAAGACATTCCTGGCACTAAAATGACATTTCCTCTAGTCATTAGTCACGTCTCAAGGCCCCTCTTATATTCTTTTGCTTTCCACTTTGAATTTTTATTCTCACAAAAAATATAAGATTTACTGTTATGCAGACTACTGCATTAGTGTAAAAAATGGTATAAATATTATTGGTGCACTTGTAAAAGAATAATAGACTCACCAGTTGATGTGTATTGCACGCTTGGCACGATTTGTTTACTTTTGAAGTTTGGTAAAAATCGAACATTTCTGCTACTTTGAGCTCAATTTCAAGGCACCTTTCATTGTAAAACCAGTCAAAATCATCTCAATTTCTGTAATATGTCTTCCATTCTATAAAATGAGACCAAGAAAACTAGAATACAACAATAAATACCATACGAAAATACACTGCAAAGTCGCTGATTTATTAAAAAAAAATGGTCAAAGTTTTTTTTTTCTCATTATGCACTGTGTGCTGCAGGATTTTTTTTAGACTGTGCACACTGACCACATAGACCCATTCTTTCATATGAAGGCCTACCAGCTTTCTCCCACTAGATTTGAGGCCGCTAGAATTTATGAGTACTAGTACGTCAAAAACCCTACGCGTAAAACGTACTAGTACGACGAAAACCCTCAAAGGGTTAATCTCACTCCAAAACTTTTTCTTATTTTCAACAAAATTAGTTGATAATATCTCACCCACTCTCATTTGCTCTCTTTTTACACTGCTTCACCACTCTCTTATCTCTTTTTCTCTCCATCTACTCCTCCCTCCTTGCATCACTTCTACTTTGTAAAAACCTCTTATATGCTAACTTTTTCTCCCTTATTACTCTCTCTGCATCATCATTCCACCAATTGCTATTCTTCCCTTCCACACTGTCTTTCCTGTACCCACAAACTTCTGCTGAACACTAACACTACATTCTTAAACTTACCCCAAATTTAGTTTATAAACCTTCACCTCTCTTTTACTTGCTGCTTCTATTTTCCTTGTATCCCGTCTACCTTTTACTCTCATTGTATCTACAACTAAAAAGTGATCTGATATATCTGTGGCCCCTCAATACACATGTACATCCTGAAGTCTACTCAACAGTCTTTCACCTACCAATACGTAGTCCAACAAACTACTGCCATTACGCCCTACAACACGTCTTGTATATTTATTTATCCTCTTTTTCTTAAAATATGTATTACCTATAACCAAACCCCTTTCTATACAAAGTTCAATCAAAGGGCCCTCCATTATCATTTACACCTGGCACCCCAAACTTACCTACCATGCCCTCTAAATAATTCTCCTACTTTAGCATTTAGGTCCTCTGCCACAATTACTCTCTCACTTGGTTTAAAAGTTCCTACACACTCACTTAACATCTCCCAAAATCTTTTTCTCTCCTCTCTTCTCCAGGTGCATACACACTTATTATGATGCACTTTTTGCATCCAACTCTTATTTTAATCCACATTATCCCTGAATATATAATTTATATTCCCATTTCTTCTCCCATAACTGATCCTTCAATATTATTGCTACCCCTTCCTTAGCTCTAACTCTCTCAGATACTCCTGGCTCTATCCCATTTATTCCCCCCCCCCCACTGAAACACACCTACCTTTGTTTCACTTAGAGCAAGGACACCCAACTTCTTTTCAGTCATAACATTAGCAATCATCTCTTTCTTAACATCCACACTACATCCACACACATTCAAGCATCCCAGTTTTATAAAGTTTTTCTTTTTCTCTTTTTAAGTATTTTCTACAGGAGAATGGGTTACTAGCCCAATGCTCCAGGCATTTTAGTCACCTTCTACAACACGCATGGCTTACGGAGAAAAGATTCTTTTCCACTTCCCCATGGAGAATAAAGGAAATAAAGAAGAACATGAACTATTAAGAAAAAGACAAAAAACCTAGATGTGTGTATGCATACATATACATGTGTATGCCTGTGTAGTGTGACCTAAAGCAGAAGTATCAAGATATACCTGTTATCCAGAATGTTTATGAGACAGAAAAAAGACACCAGCAATCCTACCCTCATGTAAAACAGTTACAGGTTTCTGTTTCACACTCACTTGGCAGGACGATAGTACCTCCCTGGGTGGATGCTGTCTACCAACCTCATGAAAATTAATACAACAAAATAAAAAAAATACAGTACTTCTGAGTTCATTGCGTAGGCGATTCCTTCTCCAGGAGTTTTCACAATTGAGAGGTGGCGTTAGCAGAGACATCTGGTGAAGACACATATGGCATGGTGCACTCTCTGTTCTGAAATGTAGCAACAGTTGTCACTAAATACAAAATACATTTAATAGTACAAAGAATAAAAATTCCACAATACACAAGCTGCAACAAATCACAAATAACCGTTAGCCGGACTTGAGTCCTGGAGGTGGGAAGTACAATGCCTGCACTTTAAAGGAGGGGCTTGGGATATTGGCTGTTTGAAGTGACAACTAAACTGTCGTATATGAGCGCCTCCGCAAAGACAGTGATTATATGCGAATGATGGCGACAGTGCTTTTTTTGGGGGGGGGTCACCCTGCCTCAGTGGGAGACGGCCAACGTGTTGGGAAAACACACACACACACACACCAGGAGCTTGGACTCGACCCCTGCAACCTCAACTAGGTGAGTACACACAAAAGAGAGAGAGAAAGAAAGAGGAGAGTGAAAGAGAGAGAAGGAGAAAGTGAAAGAGAGAAAAAGAGAGGAGAGAGAGAGGTAGGTACGTAGGTTAGGTTAGGTTCCAGGCTACGGCTGTAAAGCAAAAATCGCTGTAAAGTGAAACATAACCTTTTTCACTTTCAAAAGCCTTTTAACATATTTACACTATCATGTATTAAGTGATCAACAGACATAAGCCTTAAAAATGCAAAACACCGTAAAGCAGTGCTGCAAAGTAGGCCCACCTGTGATAATAAAATCAGATGCTGGTTACTGAAATACTAACTATAACAGGCTTTACTGAAAAAGAATGAGGATATACTTAGGTATACACTAAAAATAATGATGTACTTACAATTTAGTATACACCATCTGCCACATGACATTCTTAAACAGTGGTGAATATAGAGGCCATCTGCGCTGTGTGTATTTCTGCCACTGATCATCTGCCACATATCGATCCACTAGCTGCTGCCACCGTCGACAAACACGCCCAACAGACCATAACGTCATGTCATCCAGAAGATCAAACACCAACACCCAAACTGTGACATCAATGCTACATTTAAGAGTAGATACTAGAGTGAGTAGATTCAAAGTTCATTATTAATGATAGAGATCAGATATTTCCAGATACCATTATGGACTCAAGGCAAATATACAAGTATTTTCAGTTAAACCACAGTAACATATAACAGCTTGTAGACACAAATGACATTTCTAGTACACAATAATTGAATGTTAGTGTTACTCAAAGTAGCATTCTAGACACTCTTCTTTACCTCATCTACATCAATGACCTAGCTAATGCTACCAACATCCGAAGCTGATACTCTTTGCTGCAAAGATTGGCTAAACATTTTTTTTTTCATTTTCTTCAAGGCACAAATTAATTCAATTCGTCTTACTTTACAGTCTAGTTTTTTTTTTTTCAACAAGTCGGCTGTCTCCCACCGAGGCAGGGTGACCCAAAAAAGAAAGAAAATCCCCAAAAAGAAAATACTTTCATCATCATTCAACACTTTCACCACACTCACACATTATCACTGCTTTTGCAGAGGTGCCCAGAATACAACAGTTTAGAAGCATATATGTATAAAGATACACAACATATCCCTCCAAACTGCCAATATCCCAAACCACTCCTTTAAAGTGCAGGCATTGTACTTCCCATTTCCAGGACTCAAGTCCGACTATATGAAAATAACCAGTTTCCCTGAATCCCTTCACTAAATATTACCCTGCTCACACTCCAACAGATCGTCAGGTCCCAAGTATCATTCGTCTCCATTCACTCCTATTTAACACGCTCATGCACGCTTGCTGGAAGTCCAAGCCCCTCGCCCACAAAACCTCCTTATACCCCCTCTTTCCAACCCTTTCGAGGACGACCCCTACCCCTCTTTCCTTTCCTATAGATTTATATGCTTTCCATGTCATTCTACTTTGATCCATTTCTCTCCTAAATGACCATACCACTCACAACCCCTTCTTCTTGCCTTGGACTAATGCTTTTATTAATACTCCACACCTTCTCATAATTTCCACATCCGAATTTTCTGGCATTATAATATTTACACCACACATTTGCCTTAGACAGGACATCTCCACTGCTCCAAACGTCTCCTCGCTGCCTGCTTTATCACCCAAGCTTCACATCCATATAGAGTGTTGGTACCTACTATTTCTTCGACATTCCTTTCTTTGCCTCATAGATAACGTTTTTTTGACTCCACCTATACCTCAACGCACCACTCACTTTTTTTCCCCTCATCCATTTCTATGATTAACCTATCCATCATAAATCCATCCGCCGACACGTCAACTCCCAGTTATCTGAAAAACATTCACTTCTTTCATACTCTCTCCCCAATTTTGATATCAATTTTCTTTATCTAAAGCATTGATACTAATCACCTTACTTTTTCTATGTTCACTTTCAACTTTTCTACCTTTAACCCATTCTCAAAACTTCCATCCACTAAACCTTTGCAATTTTTTATTAGAAATATCTCCATAAGCAAGTATTCATCAGCAATAAGTATATGTTGTTCAATTCTCATTTGAATTTGATTCCCCAAAATTTTAATCCCACCCCTCTCCGAAACACCCCTAGCATTTACTTCTTTTACAACCCCATCTATAAAATATATTAAACAACCATGGTGAATTACACATCCTGTCTAAGACCTACTTTTACCAGGGAGTATTCTCCCTCTCTTTACCACACCCTAAACCCCTTGGGGCAGCCTCACTATTCCTCATTAAAAAGTCTTTACCAGCATTTAGTAACTTACCAACCTATTCCATAAACTTGCCATCTGACACATTGCTCCTCTGTCCACTCTCTCATATGCCTTTTTCTAAATCGGATAAATGCATATAAAAACTTTCCTTCCTTTATCTAAAATTACTGGTTAAATAGGCTTCAAATGTACACTTGATCTACACCATCCCCTACACTTCTGAAGCCTCCTTGCTCATCCCGCAATTCTACATTTGGGTCTTACTCTAATTCTTTCAATTTATAACCCTACCGGTTTATACTTTTCCTGGTATACTCAGTAAACTTATTCTCTAAAAATTTTTACAATCTCTTTTGTCCCTTTCCCTTTTATATAAGGGGATATACATGCTCTCTGCCAATCCCTAGGTACCTTCCCTCTTTCAGACATTTTATTTAAAACAAAAGACCAACCCCACTCCATACTATATCCCCCTGCTTTTACATTTTTTGTTCTGATCCCATCAGTTCCAGCTGCTTTACCCCCTTTCATTCTTAACGTAATGCCTCACGTACCCCACCACGCTTACATTCTGCTCTTCCTTCACTCCTAAAAGTTGTATACTCCCTGGCCAGTGCATGAAATTACCAACCTACACTTTCTTTCCTCAACATTTAAAAGTTCTCAAAATATTTCTTGCCAATCTAACTTAATACCTCCTCACCTCCATCTACTAATCCCCTACTCTGTTTTAAACGGACAAATCATACTTCCTAGCTTTCTTAACTTGATTATCTCTCCAAAATTTGTTCGTATTTCATTAAAAATTTCTTGACAGTGCTCTCCCATTCTTTCATCTGCTCTCCTTTGCACTCTCTCACCACTCTCTTCACCTTTTCTTTTTACTCTCCATATACTCTGCTCTCTTTGTTGTATAACACTTCTGCTTTGTAAAAACCTCTCGTAAGCTACTTTTTCTCTTTTATCACCACCCTTTTACTTCATCATTCCACCAATCATCTTTCTCTGCCCCTCCACCCTCCTAAACCACAAACTTCATGCCCCACATTCTTTACTGCATTTTTATAAACTAATTCCAAACCCTCTTCAACCCCCCCACTACTCATCTTTGCACTAGCCCACCTTTCTGCCAATAGTCGCTTATATCTCGCCCGAACTTCCTCCTCCCTTTCACCTCCCTCTTACTTGTTGTTGCCACCTTCCTCTTTTCCCATCTACCTCTTACTCTAACTGTAGCTACAACTAAATAATGATCTGATATATCAGTTGCCCCTCTATAAACATGTATATCCTGGAGCCTACCCATCAACCTTTTATCCACCAATATATAATCTAACAAACTACTTTCATTACGTGCTACATCATACCTAGTATATTTATTTATCCTCTTTTTCATAAAATATGTATTACTTATTACCAAATTTCTTTCTACACATAGCTCAATTAAAGGCTCCCCATTTACATTTACCCCTGGCACCCCAAATTTACCTACTACTCCCTCCATAACATTTTTACCCACTTTAGCATTGAAATCCCCAACCACCATTACTCTCACACTTGATTCAAAACTCCCCACGCATTCACTCAACATTTCCAGAATCTCTCTCTCTCCTCTACACTTCTCTCTTCTCCAGGTGCACACACGCATTACTATAACCACTTTTCACATCCAATCTTTATTTTACTCCCACATAATCCTTGAATTTATGCATTTGTAGTCCCTCTTTTCCTGCCATAGCTTATCCTTCAACATTATTGCTACTCCTTCTTTAGTCTCTAACTCTATTTGAAACCCTGACCTAATCCCATTTATTCCTCTCCATTGAAACTCTCCCACCCCCTTCAGCTTTGTTTCACTTAAAGCCAGGACATCCAGTTTCTTCTCATTCATAACATCCACAATCATCTCTTTCTTATCATTTGCACAACATCCACGCACATTCAAACTTCCCACTTTGACAATTTTCTTCTTCTTATTCTTTTTAGTAATCTTTACAGGAAAAGGGGTTACTAGCCCATTGTTCCCGGCATTTTAGTTGACTTTTACAACACGCATGGCTTACGGAGGAAAGATTCTTATTCCACTTCCCCATGGATATAAAAGGAAAAGTAATAAGACCAAGAACTATTAAGATAAAATCAAAGAAAACTCAGATGAGTGTGTATAAATAAACGTGCACATGTATGTGTAGTGTGGCCTAAGTGTAAGTAGAAGTAGCAAGACGTACCTGTAATTTTGCATATTTATGAGACAGACAAAAGACACCAGCAATCCTATCATCATGTAAAACAATTACAGGCTTTCATTTTACACTCACTTGGCAGGACGGTAGTACCTCCCTGGGTGGTTGCTGTCTACCAACCTACTACCTAAAAATAATAATAATAATAAAAATAATAATACGTACGTATAATAATAATAGTATAATAATATAATCATCTTTCTTTCTTCCTTTCAACTAACCAGCCATATCCCACCTAGGCATGGTGGCCCAAAAAGAAAAAAGAAAGTTTCTCTTTTTAACCCTTTGACTGTCGCGGCCGTATATATACGTCTTACGAGGTACCGTGTTTGACGTACATGTATATATATACTCATAAATTCTAGCGGCTTCAAATCAAGCAGGAGAAAGCTGGTAGGCCCACGTGAGAGAATGGGTCTGTGTGGTCAGTGTGCACCATATAAAAAAAATCCTGGAGCATGCAGTGCATAATGAGAAAAAAAAACTCCGACCGTTTTTTTTAATTAAAATGCCTAATTTGTGGTCTATTTTCGTATAGTAATTATGGTTGTATTCTCGTTTTCTTGGTCTCATTTGATAGAATGGAAAACATATTATAGAAATAGAGGTGATTTTGATTGATTTTACTATAAAAAGAACCTAGAAATGGAGCTCAAAGTAAAGGAAATGTTTGATTTTTGCCAATGTTCAAAAGTAAACAAATGATGCCATTGTCCAATAAATGTCCAACTAGCCATTCTAATATGCAGTCATGAATGGGTTGATGTTATTTATACAATTATTACAGTATTGCAGTAGTCTGCATAATAGTAAGTCTTCTATTTTTTGTTTGAATAAAAATTCAAAATAGAAAGCAAGAGTAATATCAGAGGGGCCTGGAGACATGACTGATGAGCAAAGAAAATGTTATTTTAGAGCCAGGAATGTCTGCATTGTTCATTCTGGACCTTATTTTGAAATTGTCATATTTTTTTAGTTTTTGTGAAATTGGCCAAATTGCAAATTTCTGACCACATTATTAGGTAGTTGAATTTGGTAAATGGGCAGTTTCTTGTA